CAGCTTTATTGAGACATCATTTATATGCTTTAAAGTTCATCCACTTAAGGTAATGCATTTTTATTAAGAACTTTTCTCTAAAAACAGCTATTTCCCTTTTTTAGTACAATGACAGGATGAAAAGAGTTAATTCAAGTTGAATTGTATCATAGAACTGTTTAAAAAATCATAACTGAGAGAGTAGAACAGTGCCAAAGTATTAACAATTGTATGTGTAAGAATAAAATTGCAATGCTCTACAAATGTTTTTACTAAAGAAGCAAGAAATTTATATATCCAAAACACTTTAGTAAATCTTACCAAAGCGAGTACATATTGATAATGAAACCATTCAAGTTTCCACCTAAATATTGTTCTTTGGCTGGTATTTATATCATAACTAACAAAAACCATTGAGAAGATGGAGCTTGGCATATGACTCTCACATATAAGCACATTAACAAGCCTATATCAGGGGTGAGTTGAACTGTGCAAATACTTCTAGAAATTTCCCTTGTGTGTTTTATTCAGTTATTAGGAGAATTCAAAGCCTCAGCTCTGCCACATATATCCAGCCCAGATGTTCAAAGTACTTGATTTCACCCAAGAGCAAAATTCCATATTCAAGACTAGATCTAGAACAGATGGCCACTCCACCTCTTCTATAATCTGGCTGTGCCCTACGAATAAATGAAAAGACTAAAGGGAACATAGATTCCACAATAGGGCAGAACAAACATTATTACTATTAATACTACTGATGATACTTATTAAGTACTTTTGTGTACATGATACTCTAATAAGCTCTGCATGGAATGAGTCCTGATAATCATAACATTCCATGTAGGAACTATGTACATTCCTTAACTACGTTTATTAAGGAATATGCATAGTTCTTACTTTTCACAGAGTTTTCGATCTGAGCAGTGACTATGTGTCCAGTACCATTCTTGAAGCAGATATAAAATCAATTCCTCAAGAACGTAATGAAGACTGTTATGTGCCTGTATGTACTCTGAGGATAACAAATGACAATATTCCTGTCCTCAAGTTGGCTATAATCTACTTGAAACAACAACAAAAAATGTAAATGTAAACATTTACAATTGTGTTAATATACATATAATAAATGTTCAGGAGGTAAATGAGAGCCATACATATCTATTACTTAGGTAATAGCTGATAACTTTGAGAGCAATTAGCTACTGTTCTGATCTTTAGTTATAACTTATTTAAATCCTCACTTCATGTATGTTCTTTTATTACACTCATTCTATAGGTGGGGAAACTGAGGCACAGAGGATTCAGCCACTTGCTTGAGATCACACAGCTAGTAAGTGGAAGAGTTGGGCTCTATTCTCTTAATCACAGAGTTAAAGGAAGGATTCATGAAAGAAGAAAGCCCTGTGCTAAATCTGAAAGGGGACAGCAATGAAGGGAGGGCATTTTGGATGAGAAGGAGAATTTGAGCAAAGGCAGGAATAAGTACAATATGGGCGAGAGTTGGAAAGCAGTGGGAAAAAACATTAGATTCTAGTTAGCATATTAGAGAAGGTCTTAAATCTTAAAAAAGGTAAAAGTGTAGATCTAATACAGATAACACAGCAGGATTTAGCAAGTTGCTGATGATATGCTGCCTCAGATGGTGGCTCCTGAGTATTTCTGCCTAGTCCTAGGGCCATATGTGCAAGGAATGATGATGATCATCCCTTTCCTAAGACCCAAATATCCAGTCTTTTGCCACATATCCAGTCATTGACAACTGGTACATGGTTTTGGCATTAAATTGCTGGTGGTCCTTTACTGGAAAAATACATTAAACACCAGAAGTGGTGCCAGTATCAACCACATATTGGCATTAAAACACAGTTAAGAAAAACAAATATCAAATAACCATTACAAGTCTTGAGTTGCAAAGGGTGTTACTAAATGGCAAACTGATAAGCATTTTGTCATATGGATTCAATTCTTAAAAAAATTTTAAAGGTACTGTTTTGAAACTTTATTATGCATAATAATCACTTTAGTTAACTTGTAAAATGCAGATTATTGAGCCCCACCCCAACCGGGATTTTGATTCGATAGATTTGGGGCCCAATATTATGTATTTAAGTGCAGTGGAATCAGATGATTCTGATACAAACGATCTAAATACCAAACTGAAACAAAGTATAAAAGTTCTGA